AATTATAATTTTCTTTAAAAGTATATTCATACAATTGAAGAATGTTTTGTACCAGGTATGTATATCCACCACACATTTTATTTCACCGAGTAAATTTTTATAATTTTATTTTTAATTTTAGCCCTTATATCGTGGCTAGCAATTCTGAATGTAATTGGGATATTAAAAATTTATTTTAAAAAAGTTTTGGCTCGAGATCATATAATAAAAAAGAAAACATTATTAAAAGAGAACGGCCAATGCCTAAGTTAAATATAAACGCTTCAATAAAAAAATTAGTTCGATATTTTTACGACAAAATGGCTCTGTAAATGCATAAAAATGCATTTACAGAGTGAAATTAGTATGTGGAATAAGAATGTTTTTGACAATTTAGCTGGCAAAAAACACGAAAAATCGTCGATTCTTTCGTATTTGAAGCAATTTGGAAATCGAAGCGGAATAGAATTTAACATTAATGAATAATATAAAATAAATATTGAAAATTGTAACGAGATAATTATAAGTAATAGATATATTTTATCGAAATAAATAGATGTTATATGTTTTTATCAAAGCAAGAATTGGCATTCAGAGGTCGTATGGAATATATTGGATCTAATAACGGAAATAATTATAATGAACTTGTTTATTAAGAACGTCAGATAAATAATCTATTAAAAATACATTTAAAGAAAGAATTAACAGATTGCCCCTGGATGTCGGCTTCTTATAGAAACACAGCTTCCCTGTCATCAAATGTCACGGCACGCCCCTGCTAAGCTTGTAAAATAAAACACCAGCTACAAACGTCTTTACTATCCAGCTTTTTGATGATCTTTACACCAATAACACGAAAGAAACTATCATGCACGTTTTCACAAGCCTTTAACCTTCGGAAGATCCATGGCAGGATGTCAATACAAAATTGGTAATTCAGAGTTCTACACACACTCCACCTAATACAGACAATGACCACAACTTCACCTACATTTAGGTTTCGAATGTCATCTGTTCGCTCACCGATAACAAAGCCCCTGTTCTTGACGGCATAATCACTACAATGATAAAGTACGCGTTTGGAGGTCATAATACAGCATTTGTAATTCTCTTCAATATCTGCTTGAACACAGATATTTTCCTACTCAGTGGAAAAGGCTAGTGTCAAATTAATCCCCAAAGTCACCAGATCTAACACATATAAAAAAATAACTCTGGGGAAAGTGTTAAATGGTCTCATGATTAATAGGATCACGTGGCATCTACAGAAACATAGAGCCCTGAATCAGAATCAGTTCGGCTTCTCTAAACACAAAGGTACAGCAGATGAAATCCACCAGATGACAAGTCGTTAACTACATCCACCAGGCTAAACAAATCAGCATAGTGCAATTATCACTATTGACTTTACAAGCGCCTTCATTCACGCATGGTGGCCTTTTGTCTTGAACACATTATATGCTCATCACTGCCTCCAAAATCTTTACAAACTTGTTCAGTTCTATCTTAGCTATCTTAGCGACAGAAGTGTTGGTGTTTATACAACACAGAATAACATACATTACTCGAGGCTGTCCTGAAAGATCCAAATCTGGTCATGGTTTCTGAAACAGAGCCAATAAGTCTATTCTTCACTTAAACGACACCTTGTTTCCTGGATGCCACATACAGGCAATGCGGACGACATAATTATCCTACCTTCACACAGAAACAGTGAACGCTTACAGGACATATGCAACGACATTCTCAATAATATTTACCAGTGGAGTATTAAGCATATACAACCAATTAACACAGACAAATGCGAAAGCATGATAGTTGATAGTAATGCGCTACTCATTAGGAAGTTTATCCTTTGAATAAATGCTAACAGAACAAAGCAAACAACGGAAATTAAATATTTATACGTTATTCTTTACGAGAAACTTAATTTCGCATCTCAAATCAAATACATCATGGACAAAGCTAGAATGACGCAACGCCCTTCTTAGTATTGCAAGGAACACATGAGACATTTTACTAAAAATTATTTACAGAGGTGCAATTCAGTTAGCACCCCTCTATGCCGTATATGTGTAGGGGTGACCGTAAAAAACTGTTAACTGTTCAAAAAAGTGCAGCTATCTGCATTTGTAAGACTTGTAGAACCGCACCCAATACTGCCCGTTNATTTATATAATATAACTTAATCAGTTATATTTTTCCAATGTCGCATTGGAAAATAATAAAACGTGTAGTAAAGTATATTATATAAATGGTCAAATGTTTACCAATGAAACAATATCAAAAGTTATAATACTACAACTACTAGATATCATTTTCAATATTGACATCAAATCTTTTACTTAAATTAATACAAGTTGTGTTTCAAAAGCATTCGACTTCATTCTATACTCAGTTGTCTTGTTTATATAATTTCAGTTTGTATAGAGTGATATGATGGGATAAACCTACACAACTTATGGGAGAACTCGCAACAAAAGAGGGCCCTTTTAAAAATTTCTATGAAAAATTGGCAGTTAAATTGATGTTTGACATGTGAAAATTCCAGGAAAAAACGCCCGCGCCGTTGGTCAGGTGCGAACCCACGACCAACTGGTGATGTTCAGTGGTTTTAACCACTCGGCCGCTCGTTGTCGAGTTCGATTTCAAGTACTTTAATTATTTAATTTACATACATTCGTACAAAGCTGCATTCAGAGGGACATTTCTTATTATATATTTAAAATTTAAATTTCTGCATTGTCAAGTATGTATTCTGCTGATCAGCGATATAGATGTCTTGGGTTTCTTCTTCGTCCTACCTTAAATATGGTCAGAGTTTTTGGACTGGATCCGGTGGATCCGTGTCGCTGTATGGCAGAAGATAGAGCTGTTATTCCGAAAAAAATTTTCAATATATATTGTGATCTGATCGAAATATTCTTATGGTCTGCGTGTCTGAATTACACAATTAATTTGCCCAATATCGACGTTTACTGTATACGAGTACTTTATTATTTCAAAGAGTTCTCATTCCTATGGACTGTAGTATTGATTATAATTACAAGCTACGCAGCAATACAGTTCAGTATTTTGAAAAGAAAGAAAATATCTCTTCATATTATGAAAAGCAGCTACAAGGAAGAATATCAATTGTTACAACGAATGGAAATTCTTGTATTTTGTGGCATTTTCGGGCTACTTATACTTTTTATAGGTTGCACCTTTGTCACAGGTATAATTAACTTTGGCGAATTAAGAAGACAAGGTAGACCCATGACAGAAAAATTCGTATGCACAATGGTTGCTACATTAATAAATTTTTACATATTTGGACAAATTTCGGTTTTAATTTTTCTGGCTGCGTACGGTGGAATATTTATTTTAAGCAGATTGATCAAATTATCCGAAGAATTTGAAGGGATGAAGATAAATGATTTTTCTTTAAAGTATAAATTACAAAGATTTTTTGAAAAGCAATCCGAAATTTGGCAATTTCTAAAAGAAGTTAATGAGAATTTTGAAGATATTCTGCCATTAACGTATGCATTCTTCATGCATATATGCTGTATATTCATGTACATTACCATATTTGTAAAAATGGTTTCAAATATAAAGATTTACTTTGTAATTGGATTTCCTATTGTTCTATCAGCAGTACTTTCAAGCTGTTGGGCATTATCACATTTCACATCACTGGTGAGTTTGAAATTATATAACATAAAATATTTGAATTGTCTTTAAATGCCATGCCTTAAGTCTACCTGTGCCGAGTGGAAAAACTACTGAACGCAAAAATTAATGACGTGAAGAAATTTCGGGAAACTGCACGTCGTCTTTGATTGGACAGGCGTGAATCTACGTTGTTTAGTGATTTTTATTCACTTGGCCACAGGTGGACTAATATGAAAAAATAATTATATGGTAAATTATTTTTTATTTCAGTTGTACGACAACTTTGCGTCTATCTACAGACTTTCTCCTGCCGATTTGCCATTGGAATTTAAACTGAAGGTAAAGTTGACTTTGATTATTGTGTTTCTCATTAAAATTTTGTAGTGTTTCATTTTCTGATAATTTTTATATTGATAATGAAGCTTTTTGGTACCCTCAATAAGTCCAACTTTAAAAGATGAATTTTTTTTTTTTAGTTTAACAGTATGAAATAATATATAAATATATAGCTTTTTACTTATTTATTTAGCACAACGGTAGGCAAACGATAGGACACAAGGCGTTTATTACATTTTTTATTCATTGATACGCGTTTTGGGTTTTTTATTTAGCTTCTCTTAGCTTTTAATTTTGTATAGTTAATTTTTAGTAGCGATTAAGATGTACAAAAGTAATATTAACAGTTATATTTCGAACCGCTTTGTATGTTTGTACCAACGGAAAACGTGAGTAATCTGCTACAGAAGGAAGCCTCTCGGAATGACATTAATAAGAATCTGGTCCCTATTTTAGTGTTAAAAACGCGAAGAAACTCGAAAGACTCCACGTGGTCAGCACGTTGGCGAGGTCCGAATTTACGATTAACTACCACTATTCTGTGGTTTTTCCCACTCGACCATTAATGGTCCTTACTACTATGAGCAATCTGGATTCAAATCCACGCATACATCTTCGAAAAACTTTTGTAAACTGTCTGCCTCAAATATGTTGAGCCTAATCTTTCACCATTACTCACGTGATAACCATTTGTAAACCGTTACAACGCCAACCTGTTGGTAAACCAGCATTCGGTGCATTTATTCATTTTTCCACTTGCGCGCTAAGTTAGGCTGCGTGCTATCTCGTGTTTTATGCCTTATGAAAGTGCTAAAAACATCTTTTTGAGTTTCTAACATTGTAAATACCATTACGAGTAATCTCAAAACTAATCCTATCTTATACAGGGTGTTTTCCGAGATGCTAGCAATAATTTTAAAGCATGTTCTTGAGGCGTGAGGTTTATAACTATTCTATAGACAAAGCTTGTAATTCATTGTTTTATTGCTACAAAGGGGTTGGTTGTTTTTACTTCGATTCTCAACAGTAATACGGGCGTTGGAAGAAACTGAAACTCACTGCCCTTTATTTTCTTGTAGTACTAACTAGCGAAGACTTGACAAGAATTGTACGAACTTTATCGCCGTGGTTACCAGTGGTGCAAAGCAGCATCGTAAGGGGTTCCAGTCTTAACTTTACTCCTTTCTGGCGTTGAAATAATGCGTTTGGCTGTCTGTGTTTATATCAGACATAACCCATAAATGCAACACACTCTTAAAGTATGTTTACAGTATTTTATATAGACAAACAGGTAAATAATACCATTAACTCGAGGAACACATTGTATATGTAACATGTACGCAACACAGATTTCATTGTATCTGTGGGTGGGTGGCACGATTTTATTCACTAATTTTGAAGCTTAATAACTTGTGTGCTATCTGTAGAAAAATTCTGATATTTGGCAGGAAAGTTTGCTTGTTACAGGAATTGATATTATTAAATTATGGTGATTAAAAAGATTAACTGGTAGGCGAGATAAAGAAGATCGCGATTCGTATTTCGAGCAGAGTCAGATTAATGAGGATTTCGCTTGCTATTCTCATTTGTTATTTTTTTGTATTCATTTGTATTTAATTTTTAGATGAATTGCTACCTAAAACGATTTGGAAAAATTCCATTAGGAATATCTATTGGTGGTTTCTTCTATGTGAAAGAAGATTTCTTCATCAAGGTTAGTAGAAATTGTGACATTTTTTAAACAGTACTGTCGACCCTTTCTATAACGCTGTTGATTATTCCGTGTTATATGAAATCCATGTTGTACGAATAACTTAAGATTTAACAAATACGTGAGCCTTTTACAGCTTGGCACACGTGTTTGTAAAATCTAAGTGACTCGTACAACATTGAATTCATGTAACACGGAATTATTAACAGTGTTATAAGGGGTCTAATGTAATCTTATATTGTAAGGAGTGTTCAGGTAGCTTAAAATCACTTTGAAGCTACCTTAAATGAAAAACTGAAATAATTTCATTTTTTATCCTAGTGATCTGAACGTAATTTACACTGCCATAAGTTAATGCAGGGAAGGTGATCTGAAATTGCGACAATAAGTACAATACGAGGCGTGGCTGCCTTCGTAATCACATTAATTATGCTTAGTTAAAGCATAAATTAATGCAAATGTAGGAAAAGAATTAATTGATAATTTTTAAATATTTGACATAAAATTCACTGATGTGAATATTAGATAATTTTAATTAATTAATTAGTTAAATTAAAACTCTTGCCGTCCGGCCTCCGAGAAAACTCGGGCAGGTTACATAGCGTTACAGAAAACTCGGTCCTTTTGGCCCTCGCGAAAAAATTTTATCGCGATTTTATATTTACTTTTAAATACGCACGATTACCTCTTAATTGTTTTAACGCGATTTTTTTTATCAAATTTAATTAATTGTTTTAAAGTTGTAGTGCACGGATTTTACTTTCGATAAGTTATTTAAAGCTAGTTTCTGATGTCAAAAACGACCTCTAATAGTTTTTAAACTTTTTAATTAATATATTTTATTATATTTATATATTTGTTTAATTAAATCGGGGGGTCGGAAATCGCAATAAAAATTTTAATTTTTTTTAAAATATTTAAAAATATACCGCCAGCTAGTATTCACCCTACTTTAGACCGTTGTCCTCCCGAGACGTGTGAGAATGTCCCGAGAAATCCAACACCAGATGTTTTCAAGGTTATCCAGCTGGGTAAACAATGACTCATTAGTGTCAAATTTTGAAAAAGGCCAGACAATGGAAAATAAAGTTTGAAGCATTTTCTTTAAAATTAACGCATTTCTTTCGTTGTTTTCAGTTTTAAGTATTTTTTTATGTTTAATTAAAAATTCCTAAAAAAAATTTTGACATCAAGTGATAAAAAAATAATGTTTCTTTATTATAATATTGACTGTTGTCAAGATAACATATATATTAATTCAGAATATCGCTTAACAAAAGTTTCAAGCAATGCAGTATCAGTTTGTTTGGATTCGCGAGATGAAGCTAAGCAACACTTGGGCGATCCGACAAGACGAAGACCCTTATTAAAGGATTGTCTAAGCGAAAGTCTCGGTTTAGGCGTTCGACATGCGAAAATCCCTCAGAAAACTCTATGTGTACAGCATGTTGATTAGGCGCGAACCCACGATATTATTTAGTTGTGTTGTCCATTGATCACTAGTTTGCCTTACTTTGTTTTGCCAACTATATCATGGAGCTTTGTTACTGGAAACGCTTTAATAATTATATTAACATTTTTACTATTTTAACAGGCATACAACGCATTGTATTCCATCTTTAATACTTTAATCGATTTGAGTGGTGTAATGGAAAAGGAAATCAAATGTACTTCGCCTGCACTTAACATTACAACTGGAAAGAATTCTTCAATTATTTAAATCTTGATGAATACGAATAAATGAAACAACACGACTTCAATAACAGACATTCAGTCATAATTATATTCTTATACAGTAGAGCGTCGATTATCCGAAAGAATTTTAGTCGCCAAATTTAAATTTTCGCCAGCGCTGTGGCGCTGCAATCTTTGGCTATGTCTTGGGCTACTCAAATATTTTACGTTTTTGATACTAAATTAACTTCTGAAGTATAATTTTTATTGTTCTTATATTTTTCAATATATTTATTTCGTTTGTACAAAATAAAGTAATAATTTTTAACGATACAATAGTCACGATTATTATTTTTAAAAGTTTACGTTAGGCTTAACATCGACGAAAACTCAAAGCGAAGCTACACACAACGGAGAAAAATTTCAACTTGGGATAAATTAATATATTTTTTCCTACATAATCGGTTATCCGAAAAATAAGTTAACCGAACAATTCCAGTCCCCAATTGATTCGGATAAACGACACTCTACTGTACTTATTTACCCATAAAAAATTTGTATAATTTTTGTAATTGTAACGGATATTGTAGCTCAATTAATGATTTAGTCGTTATTTATGTTTTTAACTGAAAATTGACTTAAATATATGTTTAGAGATATGAACCTTTCTATGTACGTACAGGTAACCCCCGTATAACACGGCACTTCTATAGCACGGATTCGCTCTAACACGGTTCGAGAATTGGTACCATCCCCCGNACTTCTCTGTTTTAGTTCACTGCAACTGCACGTGTTTTTTTCTATATTTTATAGTTATGATACATATTATAAAGTATAGTTTATGTTTCTGGATTTTCAGTATTTTCAATTGTAATTTAGCATTATATGTATTTATATGTGCATTGCTTACGTTTTCAATTAATCGCGAGCTATAAACTGTCACTTTTAACTAAGCCATATTTAAATGTATTTGAATTTATTACTTAGTATTAGAAACAATTATTATTGTAAATTACATGTTTTCTGGTTTAAATAAGTTGTTACTTCACTGAATGCTTAATGTCATTTTAAATTCTTGTGTAGAAACGACAATTTACTGACATTTACATCACCATATATTATTATCTTTATAATGCAAATTTAATTAAAGTATTTTAGTACGTCTTGAAAACATTTGTAAGTATTCGATGTATTAAAACTGTTTAGAAAGTAGTCATATATAATTGTAGAAGGAGTGCACTTATAAAATTAAATAAATATTTTAATGAAGTGTCTGTTTGGCTTGATGTATTGATTATTTATTAATTACCAAACATTTAAAACATGTGATCCGATTTAAATGTATTTTAAGTTTCATTAATGACAATAATCGATGTCATTTATCATATCTTGAGGCATTTGAATGTGTAGCAAATGCTTCATCATTATCACAAATGCAAAAATAAATTCGAAGTATTTTTCTGTGTGTGAAAGTTAGTATTTGGGTATGCTAGTGTGTGGGAGGTAGCATGATTTTAATTATTTTATTTAAGACTTAATAACTCGTGTACTTTTTCCGATAATTTCAGAAATTTTGCACGCAGATTTGCTTATTTAGTGCATTGATGCTGTTAAATTTTGATAATTAAATGTCCAGAGGGTGGGAAAATAATGGAAGTCGTGTGTATCTTTAGTCGGGTCGGACATAATGACGATTCTATTATTTATTAGCATTTAGAATTTTTTGTGAAACCGATTTCAATCGTCAAAATTAAGCTTTCTGCCGTTTTATAATAATTAAAAATATAAAAATACTTTAATAATAAAACATTATAACAGATTTTAATGTTGCAGTATAATGGAATTTAAACAGTTATTATTTTCCAATGCGTATTCAAATGTTCGCAAATGAAACAATTTCGAAGATTATCATACTTATGATTTTGCATTATTAAAGTCAGTTCTTTCAGGTAAATAAATGCAAGTTGAATTACGAATGCACTCAACTTCATTATAAATTCAGTTCTCTTGTTTGTACAATTTCAGTTTGTATAGAGTGGTATGGTGATATAAAGCAATACAACACATGGACAACCTCTCAAGTAACGGTATCTCTTAAAGCGATTTCTATGAAAAACTGGCATTTCAGTTGATTCTTGTAATACTAATTAGTGAAGACCTGAGAGGATTTGTCCGAACTTTATCAACGTTGTTACCAGTAGTGCAAAGCATTATCGTAATGGGTTCCAGTCTCAACTATACTTTTTCTGCAGCTGTAATAATGCGTTTGTCGGTCTGCCTATATATCAGACATGACTCATAAATACAACACACTGTTAAAGTGTTTTTACAGTGTATTATAAAGACATACAGATAAACAATACCATTACCTCGAAAAACACCCTGTATGTATATTATGTACACCGTACTTCATTGGTACATTATTTACAATTATGTATCAACAGTTTTTAAATACTATTTAGATTTATTTTTGTAAAACAGCTGTCAGATAAGAATGTTTTTTAATTAGAAAAATCTTTGAATCAAGAATCTATTGTTTTAGACTTTTCTGTTTTATATTCTTTTAATTTTTTAGAGCAATGAAACATAATAATAGTCAATAGCCTCTGAATATTATTTCAGCTTTTAAACTAGTGAGATGTCCAAGAAAAATTATTTTGTAGTTTTATACTAATCGAGACTTACATTATTAATATTATTTTATCTACAGCAGACTTAACTTATAATAAAAACATTACTGCCACAGCAAATTGCCGTATAACTTATTTATAAAACTATTTCTTTTTACTTTAGTGGAAAAAAAGTATAATGCTAATAAATTCAGTTTTTTTACTGAATTTATTAGCATTTTTAAACGTTTAAAGTAATAAAGAAACATCCAGGATCAGTTTGAACTGATGCTCGTTTGGGAGGACGAACCAAACTGCACACAGTTATCAGTCTGTACATGTATAACAATTTCTGTCCTTATTACATCTAATATTACAAAGAAATCAGTCCCCACTGTACTCGAAAAAAATTCATTTAGTTGTTTAAGTAAAATTCTGGCATTTTAAGCAGTGTTTTATTTATGTCCGTAATTCTTTAGTTTCTCAATTATTTAACTACTTCTTAAATAGAAATAAGTCAAGACCGGTTACTTTGTACTTTAATATTTATAGTCTTTGGAAAGAGGTGGAAAGACAAAATTTTATGACAAATCGTAAATATAAGAAAAATAAATTCTAGAGCTTTTTCTGAACCTTGAGCATTTTATTTATTAAATTTAGTTGTAAATGATGCTGCCAAAGAAACAGTTAATTTTTTAACATTGTACAAGAATTGTACACGTTTCTTGTGAATCCACCTATAGGTGGGACATAATTAATAAACAATAATATCACTAGTTTAACACTTGAAATTTGTAAATAATACAAAATGCAAAGCAGGATAAATACATCAAATATTTTAATGTATTTTTTAAAACTCCTGTCAGCTATACAGAACTATCGTAAAAATATACCAGTAAACTGTTATCGGTTGGGGTAATTTATAAATCTACTCATGATTCACGGAATGGGGCTAGGGCGGCCAAATATCTAACACGCTGGTGGGTAACAGTTCAGAACCGATCCTGGATTGAATCAGTGAATACGTTATACAATATTTTGGTGTGTAACATCCACCAGTTAATCCGTGACATTGGTGCTCTATAAAGCACTTGCGCGAATGGGTATAATCTGTCATCTTGGAAGCTGTTTCATATTCGACAATACAGCACTTCCATTCCGCCACTGATATTCGAATATACAATAGCAATTTTATCGTTTTTTCACATGTAGTATTGAAATTTGTAATAAGATAAATAATGCGGTTATAATAAAATATTAATTTTAATTAATTGAAAATACGTTAAAATATGAAAACAATCGCTCAATCTGTATTTATATTTTAGAAAATACAAAGGAAGAGGCATCTCCACTGCTTCCTAGGATGGCACGCCACTTCATAATACAAACACTGGCAGCTATAAACTCATGCAGATTAATGCACAGAAATGCAAAGCTGCCTGTTTCCTTCATATTCACACTTCCAATGTACACAATACAGAAATCATCATGATCAAAGAACCTACACTATTAACAACATGATAGTCAGGTTCAATGACTGGAAAGTCTATCTAGCACAGGACCCTGGCTATCGCTACAAAGCTAGTATTATCATCAGAAATAAAATCATTACCGCCTGCCTCGTCTCCCAATACACTACAGAATACATTACCGCCATCTGTGTTACAGACAATAACACTCATCTTTACAAATGTTTCTCTACATTCCAAACACCACTAACATTGAGACGGCCATAGAAGACATTTATCACCTCTTGAAATCATACAAAGATAATCCTTTTCTAATAGGAGGTGACTTCAATGCCAAGTCAATTTTTTATTAGGCATAGTCCAAAAGATGACCCTAGGGGTAACGTAGTTAACGAAACCTTGGCCCAACGCAACAACCTTACTCACTTGAACACCAGCACACTTTTCACCTTCTCCTGTTCCACGGGGGAAGTTGGATCGACCTAACTTTAGAAAACAGTCACATAACCCCTTGAGTCGACCACTGTTACACTACCAACATAGATTCTGTTGCGACCATAGATATATCTCTACTTAACTGAACACTACTAGTAATAATAATAATCATAGTTTTCACTAAACTTGCACTAACTGGCAGTTATTCCGCGACACCATCAATAACCTTTGAGCAAGTACTTCTCACTACAGTCTCTATACTCAGGAGACCTTAGACCATCTGGTCACCAGGCTCACAAATACAATCACTAACTCTTATGTTATTGCTTCTGAGCTCAAACATTGTAAACACAAAAAGGTTCCTTGGTGGATCCTGAGGAAGAAGAGAAGAAGAAAGTTAGGTGAATAAGACGAAATTTAGGAACAAACAGGACCCAGACATTGAAGTCACATTTAGAGACCAGTACAGGCACGAACACAACGGTTACGAAATTCTTATAAATAAAACAAGGACTAACACTTGAAAGGATTTTTGTATCAACACTGGAGGTCTAGCCCCTGGTTTGAACCATACTACTAACCTTGTAAGGTAAAACACCAGCTCCAAACGCCTTTACTATTTAGCTCCTTGATGGTCGGTACACCAATAAAAAGGAAGAAACTATCATGCACATCCACATCAGCTTTTACCCTTTAAAGACCCACAGCAGAATGTCAATACAAAATTGGTCATTCAGAGTTCTACACTCATTCTACCTAATACAGACAATAACCACAACTTAACCTACATCGTGATTTCGAATATCATCTCTTCGCTAACCAATAACAAAGACCCTGTTCTTGTCTGCAGAATCAGTACGATGATAAAGCACGCTTTTGAGGGCAATCCTACAGCATTTATAATTCTCTTCAATATCTGCTTGAGCACGGATATTTTCTTACTCAGTGGCAAAAGGCTAGTGTCAAATTAATCCCCTAAGTCACCAGCTTTAACACTTACAAAAAAATAACTCTGGGAAACGTGTTAGATGGCCTAATGATTAATAGGATCGCGTGGCATCTACAGAAGCATAGAACCCTGAATCTGAATCAGTTCGGCTTCTTTAAAAACAAAGGTACAGCAAATGACATCTACCAGATGACAAGTCGTTAACTACATCCACCAGGCTAAATAAATCAGCATAGTGCAATTGTCTGCCGCAGGGGAGGTCAGAGGTCTCCCAGTTTGCGTCACTAGTCAGGATGACAAGTCACGAGAGAGAAGGAAGAAAATTTTCGGGTCGACGATAAGGTGAAGGGCGTGATCGAGTAAAGGAGTCTACCATTTATAACAAATATAACAACAATTTATTAAAATAAGCCAAATGGACAAAAAGACTACACAAATAGCGTTTCTAAACCGCTTAATTTCTCGAGAGAGTGAGTTTTCACGCTTTTCATACCTCTTTGTAGGTTCCGTGATGAGTAAATTTGTAGAGGCACTTAATTGTCCAATAAAAGGTGCGGTTTAATCCAATCGAGCACAATTATAAAAAGTTTTGCGACTTTGGCTATGATCTGTTATCGTCGATCGTAGATCGAAATTCGGCGGGTTCGGAGAATCGGTGCGATGTCGTCGGTCCGGCGTTCGTTAACAGACTCTCCTGAGAGGGGGTAAGAACTGTCTTTTATAGCTTTTTGTGGGGAATTTCCACCACGTGATCGAATGTTTATGAGCTAAAGGTTATAAGTGTCCTAGGAACTTAAAACAAGCGACGAAAGTTGGATGTTAACTATAAACTTTTCTGCAAGATGAGCTGCAAGTTCTGCAGAGAACAATAGATATTGATAGTTATGACAGGAAGGTTTACACATTCCCGGCTAAGATCGTTTTTTTTTCTAATTCGTTACATAAACGAAAGTAAATTAATTCAAATTTTAGTTAATAAAAGTGCGTGATTTTCGTTACTAAAATTCCGGATCTCACACAATTATCACTATTGACTTTAAAAACGCTTTCGATCACGCATGGTGGCCATTTATCCTGCACACATTATATGATCATTACTGCCCCCAAAATCTTTACAAACTTTTTCAGTTCTATCTTAGCTATCTTAGCGACAGAAATGCAAGTGTTTATACAACACAGAATAACATACATCACTCGAGGCTGTCCTCAGAGATCCAAATCTGCTCATGGTATCTGAAACAGAGCCTATAAATCTATTCTGCACTTAAATGACACCCTGCCTCATGGCTGCCACATACAGGCTATGAGGACGACACAATTATCATACCTTTACATAGGAACAGTGAACGCTTACAGGACATATGCAACGACATTCTCAATAATAATCACCAGTGGATAGGCAACCAATTAACACAGACAAATGCGAAAGCATGATAGTTGGAAGGAATGTGCTACTCATCAGGAAGTTTACCCTTTGAATAAATGCTAACAGAACAAAGCAAACAACGGAAATTTAATATTTAGGCGTTATTCTTGACAAGAGACTTAATTTTACATCTTAAATTAAAAACATCACGGACAAAGCTAAAAAGACAGCCAACGCCCTTCTTAGTATTGCTAGGAACACATGAGGCATTCTACTAAGCTTATTTACAGAGGTGTAATTCATTTAGCACCCATGTATGCCGTATAGGTGTGGGGTTAACCGTAAAAAACTGTTAACTGTTCAAAAAAGTGCAGCTATTTGCATTTGTAAGGCTTGTAGGACCGCACCCAATACTGCCCATTTGGTAATGTCAGTGTTGAACCCTATCGACCTTAAGATATTAGGGAATTAATTAATGACATAAATAAAACTTTGCTGAAAGAGCCGGAATTTGCTTATTCTAGAAACTCATTAGTGTTACATCATTAACATAGAAAATTAATGGAAAAGCGAATCGTTTACATAAAATTTATAACAGTAAGAGCTACTTTTATAGCAATAAAAATATATTTATAAATTTTATATCAAATGTAAAGTAATATTTTATAAATTCAATTTATCCAATACATTGATTTTCTCAGAATTGCAGTTAAATTGCATCGTAAAATTTCAATCTGGGTTACATAAAGAGAATGTTACACAGTTAGGTGCGTGACAATCGAATAAATCTATAACATTGTTTATTTAACAATAATGATAAGATTCTAGTTACAGAGAACGAACAGAATTGAATTTAAAACTCTCTAAAATTATATTTGTAACTCACAAGAAAAATAACAATCGAAAATACTAAGTAAATAATACATTTTCGTATCTTCAAATTATCATTTCTCTCTAAATAATACATGATAATTAAGACAATAGCTTGGCCGTTCGGTGTCCAATTGAATTAACCATTGAAAACTGGTTGTTTGTCGCGGTTCGAGCATGATTAGCGGGTGGCCACGTAAAGTTTTTCGGGTTTCCTCGCCTGCGTAATGCCTAAATATGAGACAACTTCACATACACAATAGAAAATCTTCCGTACAAAAACCTATTTGCAGATCTCTTTCGCAGATTACTCTGCAATTTATACGCATATACACGATTAATCAATAATGACACCGTTCAGTTTAAATACCATTATCTTTTGTAACGTGTCTAATTATATTTGATACGTACAGTAATTGGAGTCCTGAAAGGATATGTAATACTTCTACTTTTACGGCTGTTATAATATATGATAACAAGAAATAGTATGATCGTATCAAATTACTTTTATTGGTAGTTTGCAAATCTTAATGATACATCGCATTTCAAACAAAAGATTCAGGAAAGTACAGAAAACGTATGGATTCAATGGATTAGTGTTTGTTTGCTGGCGCATATTTCTTCTTTTAATATGTCAAGATAGGTAAGAATTAAAGAACGAAATTTGGAATAGTAATCTGTAAGTAAGGGGCATTAACGCTGCTCAATTTTGGTGAATGGAACTCAATGCGATAAACGGAAAAGACAGTTCATGTGTCATATTTCGAGTGGGTTGTGATTTAATAAACAATTTAATCATCACAGACATTTACAATATTTTCAAAAAATCATCTGTATCCTCAAAATGAAGCCATTTTTGGGGGGTCTTTCTTATAATTAGTAACATTTCGTAACAGATGACGCAACGCACAATTGTAAATTTGAACTAGTCGTAAAGTTCTTTCTTTAAATTTAAATGTTTTTATGGTAGTTTTTATCAGAATTCATAAATTGTTTATTCTAATATTACGTTATCACTTAAATTTTATATTTTAGTATAATTCAAAATTATCGGACTTTTCTTAACTGATGCACGATTGCTGGGAAAGTCAAGCAACAGCACATGTCAGCTATTTTTAATAATCAAAATAAGACGTAACAACTTGGCGAACTTTCTCGTTTACCATAACTAAAGATAATAAAATATATTAGCTTTGTCACTAGAAGGTTTGTCACTTCTTGTGAAATCGTCACAATGGGCTGCAATTTTTAATCATTTTTTATTGTTAAAACAATCACATCATTTCCGTTCCACACCGGAATTTCGTATATATTAATCGGCTTCTTTGGCCTAAACTTTCCATATTTGATTTCAGAATTTTAGTAGTGTCTCGAGTCTAATTACAGCCAAATGTATAACTTTTAATGTTATATAATTCAAATTTAATATACTATATTTATAATACTTTGTATAATATAATAAACAAATAAAATCATAAAATAGAATAAGTTTTATTATATATATATATATAATATAATTCAATCAGTTATTACTTATCCAATGTCGCATCGGAAAATAATAATACGTTTATATTATATTATATAAATCGTCAAATGTTTACCAATGAAACAATATCAAAAATTATAGTACTTAAACCACCAGGTACATTTCCAATATTGACATCAGATATTCCTCTTAAATTAATACAAGTTGTGTTACGAAAGCACGCGACTTTATTCTATACTCAGTTGTCTTGTTTATATAATTTCAATTTGTATACAGTGGTATGATAGAATAAAGCAATACAATAGATCCAGAACCTAAGAAAAAACGCTATCCCTTAAAGGGATTTCTATGAAAATTTGGCAGTTAAGTTCATGTTTGACATGTGAAAATTCCAGAAAAAAAACGCCCGCGCCGTTGATCAGGTGCGAACCCACGACCATCTGGCAATGTTCAGTGGTTTTAACCACTCGGCCGCTCGTTGTCAAATTCGATTTTGAGTATTCTAATTATTTAACCGACATACATTCGTACGAAGTCTGCATTCAGAGAATCATTTTTTATTATATATTTAAAATTCAAATTTCTGCCTTGTCAAGTATGTATTCTGCTGATCAGCGATATAGATGTCTTGGGTTCCTTGTTCGTCCTGCTTTTAGTATGGTCAGAGTTTTCGGACTGGATCCGGTGGATCCGTGTCGCTGGGTCATATCTTATTATATATTTAAAATTCAAATTTCTGCCTTGTCAAGTATGTATTCTGCTGATCAGCGATATAGATGTCTTGGGTTCCTTGTTCGTCCTGCTTTTAGTATGGTCAGAGTTTTCGGACTGGATCCGGTGGATCCGTGTCGCTGTATGGCAGAAGATAGAGCTGTTATTCCTGAAAAAATTTTCAATGTATATTGTAATCTGGTCGAAGCATTCTTATGGTTTGTGTGTCTGAGTTACACAATTAATTTGCCCAATATCGACGTTTACTGTATACGAATCTATTTATATTTCAAAGAGTTCTCATGCCTATGGACTGTAGTATTGATTATAGTTACAACCTACGCAGCAATACAGTTTAGTATTTTGAAAAGAAAGAAAATATCTCTTCATATTGTGAAAACCAGCTACAAGAATAAATATAAATTGGTACGACGAATGAAAATTCTTGTATTTTGCGGCATTTTCGGGCTACTTTTTCTTTTTATATGTTGCACCTTTGTCACAGGTGTGATTAACTTTGGCGAATTAAGAAGACAAGGTAGAAACATGACAGAAGGATTCGTATGCACTATGTATTATACATTGGCAAATTTTTACATATTTGGACAAATTTCGGTTTTAATTTTTCTCTCTGCGTATGCTGGAATATTTATTTTAAGCAGATTGATCAAATTATCCGAAGAATTTGAAGGAATGAAGATAAATGATTTATCTTTAAAGTATAAATTACAAAGATTTTTTGAAAAGCAATTCGAAATTTGGCAAGTTCTTAAACAAGTTAATGAGAAGTACAAAGATCTTTTACCATTAATGTATGCCTTCTTCATGCATATATGCTGTATCATCATGTACATTACCATATTTGTAAAAATGCTTTCAGATATAAAGATCTATTTTGTAATTAGATTTCCTGTTGTTCTATTAGCAGTACTTTCGTGCTGTTGGGTATTATCACATTTCACATCATTGGTAAGTTTGAAATTATATAACATAAAATACTTGAATTGTCTTTAAATGCCATGCCTTAGGCCCACCTGTGCCGAGTGGAAAAAACTACTGAACGCAAAGATTAATCACGTGAAGAAATTTCGGGAAACTGCACGTCGTCTTTGATTGGACAGGCGTGAATCTACGTTGTTTGGTGATTTTTATCCACTTGGCCATAGGTGGGCTTAATATGAAAAAATAATTATATGGTAAATTATTTTTTATTTCAGTTGTACGACGACTTTGCATTCATCTACAGACTTTCTCCTGCCGATTTGCCATTGGAATTTAAACTGAAGGTAAAATAAACTTTGATTATTATTGTTCGTTAAAATTGGGTAGTGTTTTATTTTCTAATAATTTTTATATTGATGATATTAATTTTTCGTACCTTCAATAAGTGCAACACAAAAAGATGTATTTTTTTAGTTCAACAGTATGAAATAATATATACATAATAGTAGCCCGCGACGCCCCCTAGTGGGCGTTGTTTTTCAAATTTCCATGAAGCACGGTTCCTTTGACTTTTTTGTTCCTATTAATATGCTCTACAGCTCTGTTAAAGTTTCAATGGTAAGATTAGATGAAGAGGTGGCGAGCCCCTCAAACTGTAGCCCCCTGTGCGAACAATAAAGGCAAAGGAACCATATTCCTACTCGCGGCCCTTCGCGAGATATAAGCCCCTGAAATAATAAATTCCTATTACATATATACTGAATTATTTATTTTGTTATATTGACCAAATAATAGCTTATTGGCCAAATGAATAATAATAATTCATATTGTTAATTTAAATAAGAATTAAAATTGTTAATTTGAATGTTTGAAATATGACACACGAAAGGGGCGCCTCTAGTCTCCGTTATCAAACGGTTACAGGACAGACAGACGGATACCCGTTGAATGGGTTATATACTGTAGAGCGTCGATTATCCAAAAGTCAATTATCCGAAAGAATTCCATTCAGCAAATTGAAATTTTCGCCAGTGCTGTGACGCTGCAATCTTTGGCTATGTTTTGGGCTACTCAAATATTTTACGTTTTTGATACTAAATTAACTTCTGAAGTATAATTTTTTATTGTTTTTATATTTTTCAATATATTTATTNTTATTCACTTGGCCACAGGTGGACTAATATGAAAAAATAATTATATGGTAAATTATTTTTTATTTCAGTTGTACGACAACTTTGCGTCTATCTACAGACTTTCTCCTGCCGATTTGCCATTGGAATTTAAACTGAAGGTAAAGTTGACTTTGATTATTGTGTTTCTCATTAAAATTTTGTAGTGTTTCATTTTCTGATAATTTTTATATTGATAATGAAGCTTTTTGGTACCCTCAATAAGTCCAACTTTAAAAGATGAATTTTTTTTTTTTAGTTTAACAGTATGAAATAATATATAAATATATAGCTTTTTACTTATTTATTTAGCACAACGGTAGGCAAACGATAGGACACAAGGCGTTTATTACATTTTTTATTCATTGATACGCGTTTTGGGTTTTTTATTTAGCTTCTCTTAGCTTTTAATTTTTTATAGTTAATTTTTAGTAGCGATTAAGATGTACAAAAGTAATATTAACAGTTATATTTCGAACCGCTTTGTATGTTTGTACCAACGGAAAACGTGAGTAATCTGCTACAGAAGGAAGCCTCTCGGAATGATATTAATAGGAATTTGGTCCCTATTTTAGTGTTAAAAACGCGAAGAAATTCGAAAGACTCCACATGGCCAGCACGTTGGCGAGGTCCGAATCCACGATTAACTACCACTATTCTGTGGTTTTTCTCACTCGACCACTAATGATTTTTACTACTATGAGCGATCTGGATTCAAATCTGGGCATACATCTTGGAGAAACTTTTGTAAATGGTCTGCCTCAAATATGTTGGGCCTGGTTTTCACCACTACTCACGTGATAACGATTTGTAAACCGTTACAACGCCAACCTGTTGGTAAACCAGCATTCGGTGCTTTTATCCGTTTCGCTACTTGTGCGCTAAGTTAGGCTGCGTGCTATCTCGTGTTTAATGCCTTATGAAACTGCTAAAAACATCTTTTGGGGTTTCTAACACTGACAATACCCATTACGCGTAATCTCAAAACTAATCCCATCTTATACAGGGTGTTCCGCGTGATGCTAGCAATAATTTTAAAGCATGTTCTCGAGGCGTGAGATTTATAACTATTCTATAAACATAGCTTGAAATTCATTGTTTTATTGCTACAAAGGGGTTAATTGTTTTTACTTCGATTTTCAACAGTGATACGGGCCTTGGAAGAGACTGAAACTCACTGTCCTTTATTTTCTTGTAGTACTAATTAGCGAAGACTTGACAAGAATTGTACGAACTTTATCGCCGTGGTTACCAGTGGTGCAAACCAGCATCGTAAGGTGTTCCAGTCTCAACTTTACTTCTTTCTGGCGTTGAAATAATGCGTTTGGGTGTCTCATAACCTATATCAGACAGTCCATAAATGCAATAAACACACTGATAAAGTATTTTTACAGTATATTATAGAGAAAAACAAGTAAAGAATACTGTTAACTCGAAGAACACATTGTATATGTAACATGTATACAACACAGATTTCATTGCGTCTGTGGGTAGGTGGCACGATTTTATTCATCATTTTTGAAGCTTTATAACTTGTGTGCTATCTGTAGAAAAATTCTGATATTTGGCAGGAAAGTTTACTTGTTACATGGATTGGTACTATTAAATTATGGTGATTGAAAAGATTGATGGGTTGGCGAGATAAAGAAGATCGCATTTTGTATCTCGAGTAGAGTCAGATTAATGAAGATTTCGCTTGCTATTTTCATTTGCTATTTTTTTGTATTCATTTGTATTTAATTTCCAGATGAATTGCTACATGAAGCGATTTGGAAAAATTCCATTAGGCATATCTCTTGGTGGTTTCTTCTATATAAAAGAAGATTTTTTCATCAAGGTTAGTACAATATATGACATTTTTTAAACAGTACAGTAATCTTAAATCGTAGGGGGGTGTTGAGGTAGCTTAAAATCACTTTGTAGTTACCTCAAATGGAAGATTGAAAGGATTTCAACTTATAACCTAGTGATCTGAACGTAATTTACACTGCCATGACATAAGTTAATGCAGGGAGAGTGATCTGAAATTGCGACAATAAGTACAATACGAGGCGTGGCTGCCTTCGTAATCACATTAATTATGCTTAGTTAAAGCATAAATTAATGCAAATGTAGGAAAAGAATTAATTGATAATTTTTAAATATTTGACATAAAATCCACAGATGTAAATATTAAATAATTAAAAAATAATGTTTCTTTATTATAATATTGACTGTTGTCAAGATAACATATATATTAATTCAGAATATCGCTTAACAAAATTTTCAAACAATATAGTATCAGTTTGTTTGGATTCGCCAGATGAAGCTAAGCAACACTTGGGCGATCCGACAAGACGAAGACCCTTATTAAAAGACTGTCTAAGCAAAAGTCTCGGTTTAGGCGTTCGACATGCGAAAATCCCTCAGAAAACTCTATGTGTTAATTACGATCGAACCCACGATATTATTTAGTGATGTTATCCATTGATCACTAGTGGGCCTTACTTTGTTTTGCCAACTGTATCATGGAACTTTGTTACTGGAAACGCTTTAATAATTAAATTAAACTTTTTACTATTTTAACAGGCATACAACGCATTGTATTCCATCTTTAATACTTTACTCGATTTGAGTGGTGTAATGGAAAAGGAATCCAAATGTACTTCGACTGCACTTAACGGTACAACTGGAAAGAATTCTTCAATTATTTAAATCTTGATGAATACGAATAAATGAAACAACACGACTTCAATAAGAGACATTCAATCATAATTATATTCTTATACTGATTTAACCATACAGAATTTGTATAATTTTTGTAATTGTAACGGATATTGTAGCTTAATTCATGGTTAAGTCGTTATTTATGTTTTTACCTGAAAATTGACCTAAATATATGATTAGAGATATAAACCTTTCTATGTACGTGCTTACATCTTTAATGGAACTAATGATTACAGAAGATAGTCTGACTAAAAAAAATGTAAATTGTAAACATTTATGAACAATTTGCTTGCTGCTTAACAACAATAAGCAACTTTACAATAAGCTAGCCTTAGTAATCGAGCTTCTCGAAGCCTGTAAACCTTAAAAGGAACGATCTTCTCATGCAACATTTACATTTATTAAAATATATATATTATCCGATAAAGGGAGACAATAAGAATTCCCGTATTTTCCTATTATTATTCATTCATTCATTTTTATATACTATGTACTATCAAGTACATTCCTGGCTTCGCATGGAGTATTACCAGGAGATAAGCAATAAAAATAAGTACAATATATATTCGTAGAGAAAATTAAATAACTTTAAGTTATAGTAATGGTAAATAAAACAAATAAAAATAAACAGATAAAATTGTTGAGGGACATTGATAGGACGATCACAATATAACTATTAACATTTACATAGAGTGATTATAATATAAATTTACTTCTGATATTTAATAATATTTTTTGTGATTAATATATATTTAATTAATAAATATCTTGGTGATTGAGTACTTATAGATTAAGAAGGCGAACGGAAATAACTGTTTCAGGTCTCAAGAACATAATTCTCAGCCTGAGTAGTTAGAACTTGGATTGACGTATGTTTTTGCTGCTTCAAGATGGAATGAAGTTGGGCAACAACACATACCTTAAGCAGGGTATCATGAGTAGAGTATTATTAAACAGCAAATTATACGTAACACATCACTTCTGTAGCGCAGGACGATTCGAATGCACGTCTGAGATATCACAAGATACCGTTGGTACAGCACTTCCAGGCACTAAATACACAGATATTATAACAATCAACGCACAGGGTATGGCACATGAAGAAGAACATCATCCCACGTAGAGAAAATGTGTAGAAGTTTTCTTTCTACAAACACTTCCATTAGAACAACATCATTGAAAGATGGTTCACACATAATCAGATTATGATGATCAGAACCTTTGTTGTATATCACATACAGTAGTATTGCTTTCAGGATGCAAACTCTGTAGATATTATTCGATAAGGCACAATACTTACCTATAGCACGTAGCCTTATTCTTGAGTACAATTTCACGGTAGTTCCATTAGTACAGTACATCCAAGGCACTGCGATAAAAACAATGAACGCCAAGTATGATTGACGCATAGGAAATCAGACCACTTTCATCAGGACAACACTGCCGAAAGATGGTTCACAGACACCAGTTAATAATGATCAAAACATAACTGGACGAAGATTGGCACTAGTGATTTGCTCCTCATTTCCAATCACACTCCCTGTGAGTTGAAAATGTTATTCTCTAAAGATATAAAGTATATAGTTGGCAAATGCACAAGGTGAATCAATGTGAAGAACACAAATTTTCACAGAAAATGTGAAACATGTCCAGAAACACGGACATTCAATTGAAATATTATCGTTCAGACACATCGTAGACAAGTTGATGAGATTGCGAATGTAGTTTTAGCGTTATATTATTTGATGTGTTATTTTAGAGATACTTTTAGCAAGTCTGGTAAAGGCATTATAAACTTCAAGAGATGTCCATATGGACATCTCTTGAAGTTTATAATATAGACATGTGGACATCTCTTGGACATCATCTTTCCTATTATGGACATATGGACATAATCTTTCCTATTATCTTTCGAGTGAGCCGCTCTTGGTACATTACATTTTTAAAATCTTCTAATATAATTTCTATAAATATATAGCACTGGTAGCGTTGTGGCTAGGCTATGAATTTCGAGAAATTGATTATACTCGAAGTTTTTACTTTATATGATTTGATATAAATGTAAAAAAATACAATGTTTAAGAATAATTAATTGTTTACAGTAAAAACATAAAATGAAGGGACTTCTATCACAATTTTCTAACGAACAGTTTACTTCTGGAAATGTAACGTTTACGTCAATAACATCAGAAAAACGTTTATCGTTCTCTGTTAAATATGCTGACTTCTTCTATGCAGATACAAGTATTAACATATTTAAAAATAGAAGCACATGATTTATTTTACATAAGCACACAGTTCGCAACATATGCTCGAGTTACGAACATTCTCATACCGTTAAATCATATTCTATGAATCCATGCATTTCAGATGGATTGTAGAAGATTAAATAGCAACTCTATATTATGCTAGTGTAAACCTGACTATATTATAATTCGAATGTAAAGAAGATGCACTCTATAGTAACTTCTCTGTTCTAATTCACTGCAACTACACGTTTTTTCTTCTATATTTTATAGTTATGAAACATATTATAATGTATGATTTATGTTTCTAGATTTTCAGTATTTTCAATTGTAATTTAGCATTATATGTATTTATATGTGCATTGCTTATGTTTTTAATTAATCACGAGCTATAAACTGTCACTTTTAAGTAAGCCATATTTGAAATGTATTTGAATTTATTACTTAGTATTAGAAACAATTACATGTTTTCTCGTTTAATAAGTTGTTACTTCACTGAATGCTCAATGTTATTCTGAATTCTTCTGTAGAAAGGACAATTTACTGACTTTTACATCACCATATATTATTATTTTTATAATGCAAATTTAATTGAAATACAGGTAACCCCCGTATAACACGGCACTTCTATAGCACGGATTCACTCTAACACGGTTCGAGAATTGGTACCATCCCCCGTATAACACGGTACTTTTATAGCAATGATTCACTCTGACACGGTTCGAGAAATGGGTAAAACCCTCGTACAAAATGAAATGTAATAAATTTTTACATACTTATATAAAAATATAGTAGCATGTTTTTTTAATTTGTGGAACCTAACCCTCTTTTTCGTACTAGTTCCTTGATTCACATAACACGGATTCGCATAACACGGTAATTTTTTGCAAACCGTGTTATACGGGAGTTACCTGTATTTTAGTACGTCTTGAAAACATTTGTGAGTATTCGATGTATTAAAACTGTTTAGGAAGTAGTCATATATAATTGTAGGAGTGCATTTATAACATTAAATAAATACTTTAATAAAGTGTCTGTTTTGTTTGATGTATTGATTATTTATCAATCACCAAACATTTAAAATATGTGATCCGATTTACATGTAAATTAAGTTTTATTAGTGACAATAATCGATGTCATTTATCACATCTTGAGGCATTTGAATGTGTAGCAAATGCTTCATCATTATCACAAATGCAAAAATAAATTCGAAGTATTTTTCTGTGTGTAGAAGTTAGTATTTGGGTATGCTAGTGTGTGGGAGGTAGCATGATTTTGATTACCTTATTTAAAACTTAATAACTCGTGTACTTTTTTCCGATAATTTCAGAAATTTTGCAGGTAGATTTGCTTATTCGGTGCATTAATGCTGTTAAATTTTGTTAATTAAATGTCCGGAGGGTGAGGAAATAATAGAAGTCGTGTATATCTCCAGTCGGGTCGAACTTAATAACGATTCTATTATTTATTAGCATTTAGATTTTTTTGTGAAACCGATTTCTATCGTCATAATTAAGCTTTTTTCCATTTTATAATACTTAAAAATATAAAAATACTTTAATAATAAAATATTATAACAGATGGCGCCACATACACACATATTTTAATGTGGCTGGAATCAAGGACTATATATTACTGTAGTTTAATGTCCTTGGGCTGGAATGTTAAACAACTCGTTCTTGGATATTTTTTTTCTTATAATTCGTGTATTAGAAATATTCTAATTACGTATAGATAATTTTAATCATAGTATTTAATTTAATTTGAATCTTTCAGTCCCGTAATTATACGGAAAACTAGAATAATCAATTATAACATGTAAACCAATTTTGTATACAGTAGATCCCCCTATAAAACCGTTTCCTATAGTTATGATTCCTATAAAAATTGTGGCAGTATCCGTAAACAACGGTAAAAATAACTCCTATAATACGTAAAACGTCATCGGGCAGCCGAACTACTTTCCCGCCGTCCGTAGCGCCACGCTACG